AGATGCATTCCATTTGGAATTTATTTTTAAAGATTTCCAAGACGTTTTAAGAAAAATATTGTCAAGTATTAACCATGCATTATCTTTTTTCGTTCCACATATACTTGCTATATTGTGGACATTTAATTTGAGAATTGGCAGATCTATACAATTTTTTGCTACCTATAAATATATAAATGGTTAAAAATAAATAGTATTCCGATATTGGTAAGGCTGAAATTATCAGCTTGAATGATATAAAAATTATAACAATATCTTTAAAAAATTACCTCAGAAAAACTGTCCTGGCAAAAATCTTCATTTTTATGAATGGGTTTGCTTTTTTTATGATCTTTTACTATAAATGGTACAGATCTAGGATTAATGCTTGATGTTAATTGCGTCAGATGGTACAGCACCTATATAAATTATTTATTATTAGAAAATATATAATATCTCACATTAATCGTATTTAGATATATACTAAATATTATAAAATTTCATATTCTATATTCCGTTTAATTAAGATAGTATACAAAATAATTTGTTAAATAATTAAATTTCCTTAAGTTAATTATTTTTTGTTATAAAAATTGAAAATTCCTAAGAACATGATAATACTATGAAACTCTTTAAATCAATGAAAAAAAAAAAAAAACATAAATATTTTGTAGTTACTTAAAAACAATTTTTTATAAGTTAGGTTATAATATAAAATACATATAAACAACGCTGAAAAAAAGTAAACATTTCAAACATTCAATATTAATTTCTTACAATGTTTTTTCCTATGGGGACACATGATGAAAAAAAAGAAAATACAATATAATAAATAAAGAAGTTTCTATCATTCGAATCAAAAATACAAACCTGATTATGTGACTGAAGGGAGATCATTTCCGATTATCTGTTTCTTTAAGATGCGAAATAGTAGAATACACTAAAATTTGTATGGTTGCCGTAAACGATAGAAACAGATTAACGTGAAGCATAAATTTAATTATGAAAATAAAATAGACACATGTAAAACGGTGCAATATCAAATAAACTGAAAAAGATCATGGCTTCATTTGATGATGTGAGGATAACGGAAATGAGTGTCTATAGACTAAATTTCCGTGCAATAGTTTCAAATTCACTTGCAATCTTTTGTATGACTATTTTGTGAATTTTACTTTGTACTTTTCGATGTAAACGATGGAAAAAGATGATAGGTGGGGATGGAGGGTTATGAAACGAAGCAATTAATTCCTCGATCGAGATTTTTCGAGAGTTGGAAAACAACGATAAACTCCTGTCTCTCTCTCTCTATCACTCTCTCTCTCTGTCTCTCTCTGTCTCTCTCTCTGTTTTTCACTCAAAATTTTCATCATTTAAAACGTATAATCTATATTACATAAATATAACTATCGGTTTATATTTATAAATATATTCTATTCTTATGTACAATATATATTTCATTCTTTCACGATACGTCTACTAAAAATCATGCGTTTAAATTTAAATAATATTTTAATTTTTGAACTTTTAATATATTACGCTTTGGTTAATGATTAAAATAATGCGTCGTGAAAGAAATTCTTAAGGATAGATAGGACGTAATGTGTATATATAAAATATGAAAAAAAAAAAAAAAAAAAGAAAAAAAAATTAAGTTAGATTATTTAAAATAAATTACGATTATGATCCGTTCTTTCATAATATACGTTCAATGGTCGATACACAAGCAGGTGGCATTACGCGCATTATGGGGTTAACGTGACACATCGCTGGATGTACGTATTTATATTATTTTTTAATACGTATTGTATCGATCATTTAGTTAAAAATAATTATGCAATTTAATTTGTTGCACGATAATATATATACTGTTCTACAATTTGATTGTTTGGATATACAATAAATAGAAATAAATAATTACGTATCAGATACATATTTAGGAACATTATCGGAAAAATGGATTTGCTTTATACTGTCAATAGGAAAGCTTTCTCAAAATCATTTTCAAATCAAGAGAGGTATATTTTATCGATTAATTATTAACTGTTAAATTTATTCTTGAAAAAAAAAAGAACAATAATTTGAAGGTTATTATTTTTATCTAATTTTAATTTTCAGTCTTTATGATGGACAATCATTATGCACATTGTCTTGTCGTAATATTGCGGCATTTACGACAGTTACAGAATTAGAAGACAGTAATGGTAAAACATGGGGTTCGCATGTTTATGTTGTCGATTTAAATATGCCTTGGCACGTTCATAAGTAAATTCAATAAATCATGATATGTCAAGTGATAAATATTACATTTTGTATATTTTTATTCCAAGTATTTTTTGTTTTAGGGTACTTTCCAGTAAACATTCAATTACAGCATTAGAATGGGACTTACCAGGTGACAAACTTGTGGTAGCTGATTCAGCTGGAAATGTTCAATTGTGGATGTTCAAAGATCATGTTCTTAATGATTGGATGTTAATAGGTTGTACTTGTTTTGTTGGTGAACACATATTAGGTGCAGCTTGGTTTCATAATGGAAAAAAGGTTTGAGAAATAATAAATGATATATATTGATCAGAAAATAATTGCGTGTATTTATTTTATATTTTCATTTTTTTTTTATAAATATACATTTTTACAGACTGGTTTAGTAGCTGAAAAGAAAGATAGTATTCATTATAGTGAAAAATTTAATCATTTACCCTTTGCTCCTTCGGTAAGACAATTCGGAGGTAGAGCAGCTGAAGGTGTATTGGTAGTTTCGACAACAGGAATGGTTGGTGCTGTAATGATTACAAAAGACTTTCAAAATCCTATATGTTCCTCTACCGAAAGCTTAGGCAGTACACGGCATAGAATAACATCTGTTGATCTTTGCTATGGGAAAAGTTTGTATACTCATTTGTATTTTTTTCTGACAATGTTAAGTTGTTGACATATTCTTATTATATATAGAAAATTTATGTTATCGTAGATGGACATTTTTTGGTGGCTGTGAGTAGTGGTAGTATTTGCTTACCAATTAGATGTTATAGAGTATTGGTACGTAAAACTGATGAAAAGTGTACAATTACGTCACAAGCATTACCAAGTTTTTTCTTACAAGATGGAGCTCCAAAAGATAATACTTGTAAGTTTAAAATATTAAAATATTTGCTAATTTATATATTAATTGACTAACAATATCATATCTTTAGGTACAAATGTTACACATCTTAAGTTTGTAGTAAGAGAAGATGCTGATTCCTTAGTAGTTGCAGCAAATAGCGAAAATGGTGGTTTTGTAGAAGTTTGGGAATTAAGGGAAAAGTCACAACCCGTTCATAAATTATTTCAACCAAAGTCATTGGAACCATTTAAAACAGTAGTATGTAGATGTGTAAATTTATTTCAATGATTATGAATATTTAAGAAAAAATACGAATTAAAGTAAAAAATGTTTTCTCTAGGTTTGGCAACATCAATCACAATATCGTTGTCAGTCATCAGTTACAGCAATAACTACAACAAAATTGCCTATTGTTACAACTTTACCTCCACCAAGTTATGTTATAGTAGCTTTAGCAGATTCTTCAATTCATTGTCTCAATCGAGATTGTTTGAAAGAAGTATCGTATTCGTCATTAAAAATGGCATGGAGACAAGATGAACCTAGTAATAAATATTTTAAAAGTTCAATATCTTTAGCTCATATGGACATTTCATGGCTTGGATGCGTTCTTCTAGCATGCGATACTTATGGTAGTTTGTATTTGTACAAACTTTTGCCTGATGGAGGTTCGTTTTTATATATTTATCTTTTAAAGATCTAATTTTTTTTTAAGTATATTATATGAGGATAATTTTTATTGTAATATATATGTTTGCAGGACCATCATTAACATTAGGTTATGCTTGTACATTACTGGAATATTGCTTAGTTACTGGTTTAGATTGGTTGGATGTACTTTTATGTTTAAGAGCCTCAATGATAGAAACATTATGCGAACGATTAGACGCTTCTTATACGAGGCAAACGCAGCCCATACAACAGTACCTTTATGTGCAATTTCTTTGTATCAAAACATCTTTGTACAGGTATATATTAAATAATAAAACATAATAATCTTATCTAATTAAAAATGAATAATCAAATATTTTATGGTAATACAAATAAAAAATTAATTTTATGAATATTTGTTTACTAGAATGTTAGTATCAGGTCAAAACAAAGCAGCTGATTTATCCTCTTTACTTATGATACATTCAGTGGCAACAGCTTTTAAATCATTGTTAAGGCCGTCGGATTTAATATCTCATGACAAGGGACCTGCTGAAAGTTTAGCAGCGGTTATTACAGAACCTATTAGTGATGTCGATAAGGTAAGGTATATTGTCTTATATATTAAATTCATAACTTTTTCATAATATGTAAATTAATAAGATCTATTTCATTATTTCAGGTACTTTTACATCTTGATCCAAAGGAATTTACAGTTGAACCAAGTACATTACAGTCATTACAGCAATTGATTCAGTGGGTTGCAGATTTAGCATTAAATCTTCTAGCACGACTTCCCGAGCAACGAATGCAAATGAAAAGTGGTGGTGTTAGTATTTACAATATCATATACTTTTATTATTTACTTTAGAAGCTCTTCTGCAGAGTATAATTTTATGTTGTGTTTTTATACAGTATGAATTACTCAAAGATCATAAGGCACTTAATACAGTAAGAGAACTCCTTGTCATTATACGAATTTGGGGTCTGCTTCGTCCATCATGTTTGCCCGTTTTCCTACGTAGTGCTGATAATCTTGACGTATTGGCATTATTATTTCGATTATTATCCAAACTTGTTCAACCTAATGGTGAAACACAACAACAAATAGATGATGGTTTAATAGGTAAGTTTCCTTTTGTACAAATGATTTTAATTATATAAAAAAATTGAATTAGATATATTAAGTATCTTGAATATCATGCCATAGTTAAGAAAATATTTATATATATATATATATATATATATATGGCACTCTATTTCTTATCAAATATATGTTAGCCTGTAGGAAGTAAGATAAAAATACCACTTCCTTCGGTTTATTTAGATATGGCCTGAAGAATAATTCCTTGATTTAGTGCTTGTAAATTCAAACGATCATATAATATGTATAAATATCAACTAGTTATAGTGTTTCTGTATAATTGTTAAAACAGTGTGGTGTATTTGTGAATTAGTAATTAAATTTTATAATTCATAAAGAATTGCATACAAAAGAAACTTCAAGGAATATGTGTTTATAATTCGATGAGACATAATGACTAACAAACTTGCTTTTAAACATAAAAATTCAATGGCCTTAAACGAAAAAAAAATGATATCACAAGAAAGTGGATCAAAAAGTTCTCATTTATATTCTAAGCCATTTAGAATACCAATTTTTTTAATTATTACATGTTGCATTTTTTTGGGATATTGGTTTATCATGTGCCCATTAATATGGGCATTATTGTCCCACTCATCTTTTATTACTCATGCTTGGCCTAAATTTTGGTCCATTATATTTTGGATAGTAGCATTAATAATTTGGATTTTTATTATGATATTTTTAATAAGTATTTGGAAATGCATAAAAGATAAACATAATATTAATGTAAAAAAAAGATCATATGGATCAGACAGCACAAATTATCCTTCACAGTCATTAGGAGAAGATATTCAACCAATGATAGCTAAGGATAAAAGCAATGATAAAACATCAATTGATTTTGATTTATCATCAAAAGATTATGATAAGAAAAGTATAAATAATTCCAAAGCAACTGACAATACAATCCAGAAACATTCAAAAAGAAAACGTGATCTTCCACCTTTAGTAATCCACAGAAAAATGTCAAAAAACGACATTGAAAATGTTAATATAGTAACTACAGAAAAATCACAAAAAAAAGATGATGAAGAATTACAAATTGAGGATATACAAGAGACTAATGTTAATAGAAATTCTATAAAGAATTATTTGAAATTAGTAACAGTCACTCCATCGGAAGAAAATAAAAATATTACATCACCAAAAACACCAATGTCTCCAAGAGATTTATTTTTTATTGATTTGATAAGAGAGGCAGAAAAAGCCGAGAAAAATAAAGAAAGTGAAAAAGAAGACTTAAGTAAGAGACGTTGGTTTCTTCCAGAGCATACAATACCATCAATTTTAAATTCTATTGATAGTAAAACAAATAATTCTGATAATAAAAATAGTAAAAAAGATGATTCTGATAAAGATAATAAAGATGATGAAAAGCAAGTTGAGAGAGAATTGAATTATTTTATTGCAGATATAGAAAGTCCGAAAAATGAGAAAACTGAAATATTTATAGAAATTAATAAAACTTTAGAAACTGATAGCAAAAAAGAATCTATAGATCTTTGTACAGTTAAAATGAATGAAAACAATCCTATACTTGCATTTGAAAATAAATTTGCAGAGAAAGATGGTTTAAAAGAAAATAGAGATATGTAAAATGTAGATTTATTTATTTGTAGATTTTTATTTTTAGTTTTATAATCAAAATTAAATTTATTATAATTATTTAGAATATATAAACATGCAAAGAACATAATAAAGTAATTAATTAATTCTAAATGATGTATGTATATATATGTATATATATGTATTTTGGATTTTTTATAAGCAGATCCTTATTTAAAGCTATGATTTACAAAAGCATATTTAAAAATATTAATTTACTCTAAATATTAACTTAATGTGACTATTTAAATAATCATACACAAGTAAATAATGTTGATCTAATAGACATAAGTAAGTTTGAATTAACAACATGATGTCAGCATTCTTTTTTATTTCAGATGATTGTTGTCTGCTACCAAATCAAATAATGATACCTCAGTTACATCAAGGCAGTAGTATTACTGCTTTAACGTCGCCAGTACTTTTCTATCAAAGTCTTCCTTTACAAGTAATTAAAAAAACTTTTTTCTTTTTATATATATACGCACAAGCGCGCGCGCGCACGCACATACACACACACACACACACATTTTTTTATTAATATTCAAATAATTTTATAATGTTGAATTTAGTTGGAATATGGTATAGAACCCGAACAATTATTATTTACACCTGAATTAAATCCAGTGGAAGGCTGTATGCATAGTGGACAGGTAGTAGACACCATTCGACATTTATATCTTGGAAAACAACCACTTCTTGTTAAACAATGCACAAGGTATTCAGTAAAGTTGTATATGCAGCTTTAAACATATACAATATATAAAATATATGTATACGTATATATATATATATATATATATATATATATATATATATATGTTTTTAGATGTGGTGGAAAAGTTCAAGTTCAGAATATGACAAGGACAGCTGCTATCAGAGCATGGGATCAAAGATGGACGCGTGCTTGTCGATGTGGAGGATTTTGGAGAATCCATAAAACTTGTTTATAGACATTTATAAGAATTATACATTTTTTTAAATGTCTTTTTTGTAATATAGTAGTTGTATTAAGGTTTTCTACATTCTATGTCAAATTAAAATACATTTTTATATTGTAATTATTATGCCAAAAAATAAATCAATAGTATTATCTTTAATTTTTATAAATAATACAGAATTAAAATATTTTTAATTATTTGATTTAATGGAGTAACTTTTAAATAATGTTTGTTTTTTTACTTGTATAAAATTATAAATACAAATGCATTCATTTTATTTTTTTTTTCAATATAGGCTGACCATGGCCAAATATAATAAAGCAAAATTAAGCAAAGAAGATATACACAAACACAGATATAAGTTATAGTTTTATTTCTTCATTATAAAGAACAATTATGTTCTCCATAAATAATAGTAAGATAAAATTTTTGAAATCATATTACAAAGTAATTTTATATTACTATGGAAATATTTAGGCTAGATCCTGTTATAAGGTTTATATATCTCATTATGAAATCTTATACAGTATTTTATTCGTAAGTTTGTAATAATATATAATTAACAAAATATAAAAAACAATACACAAATCCTTTTTTTATCAGCACATGTGAATCATAATATTTAACCTTAAATTCATGTTCTAACATTTATTATCTTTATTGTAGCCATGGTCAATTATTATTTAGATTATAATTATTTCTCTTTTTTACTTCTGTTGTTTTAAATATATTTCAATGACTTTCTCCTTTTCTACCAGTAACTCTTTTGAATTCACCCATATTGGTTGTTGAGATTGGCGATCCAAATATAATCAACTGATCAATTCTAGTAGTGTCAGTACCAGCTTGATTGTTTTTGATAAAGATTTGAAGATTTTGTACATTTTGAAATTTCACATAACGCAAGGGAATAGGATTTCCTTCTTCGATATCTTTGGGCAATAATCTGCATAAAAATTTAATGTATGTATCCATATGAATACGCGGTAAAATATAATAAATACTTACGTAAGATCTTGGACACTAGTATTGGAATCTGCCATATCAAAATCTATAGTTCTAGGTTGATTGATGAAGAGTTTAATACTCTTTGGTCCAGAATCTGTTGGTGCTTTGATTTTTAGGGAATGTACTTTGACAGCTTGGGTAAAAGTAATGGATAATATTAATTGTTCATCGCAATCACTTTCTAGATATCCATCATCAGTTGTTAGGCACTGCACGAAGTTGTGATCATCCGATTCATTTAAACATTCACATTGTGTTTTTGCAATGAACGTGTTTAAATCCATCTGTAAAGCAAACAATTTTTATCAAATGTCATTAAAGGGATTGCATAAGAATTAGAAATTATTTGGTATAATGTTATTTGAAATGAATTTTTATTATATTAATGTTGTATAAAATAAGTAAAATTCTATTGTACTTAAATTTACTTTTATGAAATTTTCATTAATTATATCGAAAGAAATTTACATTTTGTCATTATTCAAAATTCATTTGGTTTGCTTTATATAAAAAAAAAAAAAAAAAAATAAAAAAGATAATAAGACAAATATTAATTTCTTCATTTTAATTAATAGGTAATATTATATATTCAACTTTTAACTGAATGTAATATTCAAGGAAGAGTAAAAAATTATGAACACTTTCACTTATTAAAACCATATTTGTTTGAGAGCTAACAGACAACTTGACAATTCTTTTTTTCATTAAGATAATGTTAAAAATTCATTGAAAGAAAGTTACAACTTTTTTATGTTTATTGTTGATACTTATTCCAGTATAAAAAAATTGAAGCAAGAAATATCATTCCAAAAATATGATAATAGATATTATAATTATCCCGTACATGTCCAGTAACTGAACCCTCAGTATCTTCAGTATCACCATTGCCATAATATTGTTGTATTTTTGATTCAAGTCCAGCTGGATCTGCTCCTTGGCAAAAACCCAATTTTGTTCGGTTGCGATAGAAAATAAAAGTAGGCATTACACTGACGCCTTGAATGGCTGCAACTTCTGAACATTTATCTACATCTACTTTAAGAAATATCGCATTAGGATATTTTAAAGAGAATTGCTCAAATACTGGTGCAATTCTTTGGCATGGTCCGCACCTATAGATAATAAACATCAATTTGAATTCATATGGTACTTGTTTAAATAGAAAAAAAAAATATATTAACATTTTTTTAATATTCTCGATCTTTCGATATATATATATATATATATATATATATATATATATATATATATATATATATATATATATTGAAACAATTGCAAATGAGAGAAATTTTCTGGCTATGAATAAAATACACGAAATTTTGTAAAAATTAAATTTAAATATTAATTTATAATATACACGTAGATAATTTTATTATTATAACTAAGATATTAAAATATTAGCAAAGAAATGTAATATTTGTACGGTTAACAAGAAATCATAACCTCTAAAGAACTTACCACGAAGCTGTAAAGTCTACAACGACCAATTTTGAACCCATATTAGCCATTTCCGCATAAAATTGATTTTCATTCTCAATTACACGTATTGTTCCCATTTTCCTTTTTTTCCTTTTTCAAATGATTTTTTTATAACATTAATAAACGAGAAAACCGCAAAAGTACGGATTCAAATTATCGAATGACTGGCAGTTTCAGGGTCTTCTTACACCGATCTACTGAGGTGGATTTACTAACGTCGCTTTGTACATTTTATATTTCAACCAAAAGAATTTTCGAGTTATCATTCGAGTAGTTTCGGTTAAACTGCATTATCCAATAATGATATACAGACAATGTTTTTATTATCGGTTATCGTTAGTACGATTTCTATATTACCGACTAGTAACAAAATATTTTCTTCAACATTAGAGAATATTATCTATAGAAATTATATATTACCATTATATGTATATATGTATATGCATGCGTATATAAATATATATAATTTTTAACAAAAGATTTATATGTCGGTAAACTTTAGTTTTTTTTTTTTTAAAGATTGTTATCGACTGATTTCTTTGTTTTCAATCGTTCAAGGAAATTTCTGCTATTAGAAAATTTAGTTCCTAAATAAATTTTACATCTTGGACAACTGTGGACGGTATCTTTGAAAGCGATCAAGTAATACGGCAAGAAGCACATACTGTAACAAACGAAGGAAAACATCACAATAAATTATTACTACAGAAATTGTAAAGATATTAAATATCAAATAAATATCTTACCACACTGGTAGTAAAGAAGTAGCTATCAAATGTGTCATGCAAGTGTTGTAATGTTTTACATCGGTTTCAATGTAATTCAAACAATTTGGACACGTTGTTTTTGCCGAATGCTTCTCAAAATGAGTATGTTCTATAAGATCAATATATAGTAAAAATCACGATGAATTTTTTAAGTGTAAAAACGAAACCAACCAAACATCGATCTATTCCTTTTAATTCGTTTACCGCGCCATTTTCGTTCAGGGGGGTTAAATATTTTTTTCAAAAATTTCCTATACCTAGTTTTTTTTTTTCTTTCTTTATTAGTATCGACGGATGATATATCTGCATAGAAGGACATCCTCTGACGAATCAGGCCATTCGATAAAATGTCTGTAAAAAGTGAAGAAATTGATCATAGGCCTGGCAAACATTAATTATCAAAAAATTCTGATAACAATAATCCGACTCGATAAATTGTCAACTTTATTTTTAAAGCTAGACGATCTTTTTTTTTACATCTCTTTCTCTTTCATTTTCTCTCTCTCTCTCTCTTTCTCTCTCTCATATTTTAAAATTTGATTAAACAATAATTTTGATAAAACCCACGTAAAGTGCAATGTCGAGATGTAGACGGGATTTCGTTTTGTTCCATTATTTTCGATTGTTTAAATAAATCGATGATAAAGATTTGAAAAATTTCGTGCTTGACAAAAATTGTGCTAACCTCTTCAAAAATAAGATGGGCAAGAAACAAATAAAAGAAGGATAAATGAGTCTTTCCGTTTCTTTTTTTAGCTAATCGAGATTCGAAATTCGAGATTCGAAAGAAAGAGAGAAGAGAGATATATAGATAGATAGAGAAAGAGAGAGAGGGGGAGAGAGAGAGAAAGTTAAAAAAAATAGTAAGAGCAGAGAATTAATTTTGATTAGTTTATTTCACGTAAAAATTAATCGGCAACTCGCTATATCGTTTAGCTACGAAATAATATTTGACTAACGTATATATCTCATGAAATGTGTATATTATAGGGGACATTTTTCCTTGAGGTTGTTTATAAAGATTTTGTCGTTGTATTTGTAGGAAAAAGAAAAAAAAAAAATTCATGAAGACCAATCATGAACGATTAACGAAACTCATGAAACACGGAAACTATAGCGGAGTAGTTGCAGTAGATATCGAGTAGATATGTACGAGGATGGTGATGGGGGGTAAAAGCTGAGAGGAAGACAAAGAAAGAGAGACAGAGAGAGAGAGAGAGAGAGAGAGAGAGAGAGAAAGAGAGAGAAGAGATGAGAACAGAAGAGAAGAGAAGAGAAGGGCAGAGAAGCATTGTCTGGGGAACGTGAACACTATTTGCTAGCAAAGTAGATTAGGTTGCTATTGATAGAGAGAGAGAGAGAGAGAGAGAGAGAGAGAGAGAGAGAGAGAGAGAGAGAGAGAGAGAGAGAAGAGGAAGAGAAGGAAGTAAAGGTAAAGGTAGGAAGGACGAGTATGTGTATATGTGTGTGTATGTGCGCTCGCGTGCGAAAGAGAGAGAGAGAGAGAGAGAGAGAGAGAGAGAGAGAGAGAGAGAACTGTTGTGTTCTACGCGAGAGAAGGGCCAATATAGACGGCTGGGAGATGGGATATAGCAATAGAGTTTCGCTTACGACATATAACCGCGTTAGACGATGCTCTTTGTTGTATCAGTGCGCAATTGCCTTAAGTTCTGATCTTGTCCGATATTGATGTTCGAGAGGCCGGGGCAACCCCGATGGGCTACTAAGAGTTCTATTCTCCTTCTATCGCTTCTCGATCGAGTCCGACCACTTTAGGATCTTGGGAAGCCCGTGTTCCCGTCTATACCTCTCTTTCTCTTTAACCTTTACTTTTTTATTCCTTCTTCCTCTTTACCTTTTTTATCTTCCCTAAATTCGCCTCAAATTCAATTTGACGCGGACGAGATTTCCAGATATTTCTTTCTCTCTTTCACTTCTCTTTTGAAAGCTCGTCGAACTTATGAAGATATTATTCGAGAAGTATTTGAGAAAGAAAGAAAGAAAGAGAGAGAGAGAGAGAGAGAGAGAGAGAGAGAGAGAGAGAGAGAAAGCGCTGATGAATATTATAAGAAAATCGAATGAAAAAATTAACAAACGTCGAGGGGGTATTATTTTCGATCGATTAAATACGTTGACTTTCTCGAGATAAAGATCGGTCTAAGCTAAGAGCGTGAAGGTAAAGATCTTCGAGAGAATTAAGATCGAAACCAACAGGTTTACTTACCCTTCTCGTTCTCGTGCAATAACAGTCAAAGGGATGATCGAACCGGGACGCTTTGTAATATCATTGATCTCCAATGGAAGGAGCTTACCTTTGCTCCGTTAGCACATATAGATAAACGAAGGAAATTCGTAGGAGAAGAGATCCTTCCTTTATTGCTTTATGTAGAGTTACATATATAGAGCAAGCCGTTTGATTTGTAACGTTCATAATCTATGATAATGAAAAGATCAGTGTTAACACTTTCGTAAGTGTCGTTAAAAATTCGCTCATTATACTAATTAAGAATGATCTTGAAGATATTCAAGTGACAGTCTTCATTTCCTCGAATTCTTTTTCCGATATTCTTGAAGATTGATTTTTAACGAGTTACGTGACTCATCCCTTATGTATACGCACGTGCACTTTTCTCAAGGTTACTCTCTCTCTCTCTCTCTTTCTCTCTCCTTCTCTCTCTTTCTTTCTATTTTTCTTTCTCTCTAATTCACAATCCTCAACCGTCTATCTCAGGTGGTTATCTCATATTTCGAGTAGATCCGGTTGGTCCGATAGAGGATAAATCGGAATATTGGAAGCATAATAGAGAGTTTAATTAGGTGTCATTGGAACGGCATCCGTATTATTTGTATATCCGATATTCGACCATTTTCTTCTTCTCTCTGTTCCATTGTTGGCTATAGGAAAGGAGCGAGATGAAAGACAAAGTCCTTGGCGATTCTCAAATACCGTGCGCGTGCACGGTTTCGAAGTTTCTAGTAAAATTGGAACAACGAGAGAAAACGTCCCTTGCCCGTTATGTTTCTGGCCGTCGAAATGAGAATTTCAATGTACTCATCTACGTATCGCATACAACGCGATAATTATTCGTACTTGAAATAGAATTAGTACGGTAGAATCTCGACTATTCGTAGCCGTGTGTTACGTTGACTTTAACATTCTCTGCGAATTACGGGTCTCGAATGTCACTGCTGAGAGAGATGGAGAACGATGCACTTTAATGCTCTCGAGTTTAGAACGTATCACAATGTTTCGTCGAGAAGTTCACAACATTAAACTGTCTCTGCGTATACCTGTAGATATATAATAATAATAATTATTATTAATATTATTATTATTATTATTATTAATATTATTATTATTATTATTATTAATATTATTATGGATACGGTCGAACTTATTGCTCTAACGATAGGTATATCAATAATTTCTCTTTATCGCGAATGCAATAATGAAAATTCTAATGAGAGATCGTCGTGCGGCAGTCTTTCTTGCCATTTTTTAGAAATGTATGTATTCATTTTCCAACTTCCAGCCGACGGGTTTACGCGGTGAGAGAACTTCTGTAGTATGAAAGAAGGAAGATAGAGATAAAAGAGAGAGAGAGAGAGAGAGAGAGAAAGAGAGAGAAAGAGCGAACGCGTGCGTGGAAAGCAAGATTGAATTTTTCGCCATTTCGCTGTTGGGAAGGAAAAGAAAAAAAAAATCTTTTCTTTCTTTCTCGTTCGTTCGCGAAGCGTAGAAAAGATAATTGCATACCGGCGTCGAATAACGAAAGTGTAAACAACACTTCTCGTCTTAGCTTCGTATCCTTTGGGATAATAAAAAGAAGATGACGACAAATATATAATGTAGAAAATATACCCCCACGGAGACTGATTATCTGTTCCTTTTCTTTTCTTTTCTTTTCTTGTTTTATCTTTTTTTGTTTTATTTTTATTATATTTTATATCATACAAAAGGGACGTTTCGCTTGGGGGTTAAGAAAATGATACAAAATGCTTTTCACGTAGGTAGAATCTAATAATACGAAATAAAATGAAAAAAAAAAAAAAGAAAAATATATATCATCGTACAAGTTTCCAAAGTTTCTTATTAATTTGAATAACTTTTCATCGAAATATTTTTCCTGATAACGCATGTATGAAAAGGTTTAGAGGTAATTGAAGGTGGTACTTGAAAATACGAGACGCTATCCACTTGAAAGGAATTTAAATGGATAAAACACATTGATATCCTACGCGTTAATGACTTCCCATATAATTCTTTATGTCAATCATGTCTGTAGATCAGTCTGCACTAGCACGTCAGAACGTTATTCATTTGAGGGATGAATTTTTCGAGAATTTCCACGAGGGGCAAGCTCGTTTTATAAAAAAGAATCGGCAAGGTCTTCTTTCTCGAGCAACGAAAAGGCTTCGACGTTAATTCACGGGAATGTTGGAGAGAAGGAT